GATCCCACATACAGACCGGTTCCCGCTCACTGGCTGAGCGAGGCGCGGGAGCAACGCTGAGGGTTGCGATCCCGTTGCCGGTCCCCAGTCCGGTACGGGGGCAACACTGAGGGTTGCGATCTGTTGCCGGACACAGAAAAAGACAAAAGACAAAAATAAATAAATAAATAAAAATAAAAACAAGAAGTTAATTCTGATATTGATTTAGGTCAAGATTCATTATTTTAGGAAAAAATGTATGACACTATAGTTTTGTAATCTCCACTCTCACAGGGAGCTGGTTTACTCACTACACTTTAAATATCACTTTGATGCATACCCAGATCCTATTTCCAGTCTTACTCTCTCCTTTGGGCTTGAGATCCGTATTTCCAAGTGGAAACTTCAAACTTAGCATGTCTTCTGTAGGGGAAACAGCACAGGTTTTTGTATCAGAGTGAAATGCATTTGAAATTTGGTAGACAGACATGTCTTCTTATTTCCAGGATTTCTTCTTTTGTATTTGTTAAACTGACCAGAATTTCCAGAATAAAATGGAATAGTGACATTATTTCGCTTTGTGGATTTTATTGAGAAATCTTTTTGTGCTTCACTATTAGCACTGAGTGCTATTTTTGGGCTATTAGTAATATTTTGGCTACTGGTGAAAATATTTTTTAATAATACTAAAATAGCTTTCCTAGTTTGAGTTTTTAAAAAATCAGTAATAAATGTTTAAAATGTTCAAATATCTTTTTGGTTATTGAGCACTATACTCATAGTTTTTTTCATTTGATTTATGAATATATAAAGTTATATTTATTTACTTCCTGTTAAATTATCCTTGCATTCCTGGGAGAAAAACAATATAATTACAGTGCATTATTCCTTTCATATATTGTTAGATTCAAGGTATTAGTATTTTATTTAGAATGTTTTCTTTTATATTTATAAAATTATAGCTCTGTGTTTTCATGTGCAGTTTTATCAGTTATAATAGTTTTATAAAATTATATGAGAAAACAATTTAAAGATGGCATAGGAATGATCAGTACCTTGAGATCTGACATATTTTGTTTATGAGATCATTTGAGCCTGACACTTTCATGGCAAGTAATTTTTGGGTACTGTATTAGTCTGTTTCTGTTGCTTGTTACAATATAGCTGGAGCTGGGTACTTGGTAAGAAAATGAAATTTATTGCTTGCAGTTTTGGAGGCTGGAAAATCCAAAGTCCAGGGAACACACTTGGTGAGGGTCTTTGGTAGTGGCTTTACAGCAATGAAGGGGTCTCACATGGCAGAAAATGGTGGAGCAGAGAGAGAGAGAGAGAGAGAGAGAGAGAGACACTCTCTCATGCTCTCCTTTTAGAGCCCTCAGAACCATGCCCCTGGCCACCATTATTAATCCATTCACTACTGCACGGTCCTATAATCTGATCAACGTCTTCAAGGCCCCACCTTTCAATTGCCATAATAGGGTTTCCCACCCTCAACAGTTACAGTGGGAATTAAGCTTCTAATATATGGACTTTGGATAACACAATTCAATCAGACCACAGCAGATATCTTTTCCAGTTTCTTCTATCATTATTCCTCTGTTTCCTGCTTCTTGAGTCAGTTTGCTGATTTTGCATTTTCATCCGTAATGGCTAATGATGATGTACATCTTTTCATGTGCTTATCAGTTATTTATATATCTTTTCTGGAGAAATGTCTATCAAAATTCTTTGCTCATTTTTTAATGGGGTTATTTGCCATTTTATTATTGAGTTGTAATAGTTCTTTACATATACTGAATACAAGTCCCTTATGAGGTATATGATTTGCAAATATTTTCTCCCCTTCTGTAGGTTGTCTTTCAGTTTCTTGATGGTATCCTTTGAAGCACAAATGTTTTTAATTTTAATGGAGTCCAATTTATGTACTTTGTTTTTTGTCAGTGTGCTTTTGGTGTTATACTTAAGAAATCATTGCCTAACCCAAGGTCATAAATATTTGCTCTTATGTTTTCTTCTTTGAGTTTTCTAATTTTACCTTTTACATTTGGGTCTATGATTCATTTTGAGTTGATATTTGTATATAATGTGAAGTCGGGGTCCAACTTTATTCTTTTGCATGTGGAGATCCAGTTGTTCTAGCACCATTTGTTGAAAAGACTGTTCTTTTTCCATCATTCATTTAATTTTAATCTTCACATGGGATTTTGCTTGGAGCTCAATTAGAGAATCTTTGCCTTTTAATTTTATTTAGAAGGTCAGTTTAACCTATTTGCATGTATTATTGTTGCTGATATATTTAGCTTTACTTTAGAAATTTATTTAGATCAGATTTTTATGTTTCTCTTTTGTTTCATGTGTTATCTTGCTGTTTTACAAAAGTAATTGCCTTTACTTCAAGTTTACAGAATAAGTGTTTGTGTCTATTTTATTTCTTTTAAATAAGAAACTCTGAATAATATTCATTTCATAAACTGCATTTACCAATAGTCTTATTACTTGAGACTATTACACCTCAATCTGCATTAAGGGTAAGTGTACACTTTGTCAGAATAAATGCAGATGATCGTGTTTTGAACTTTTTTTTTTTCCTTTTTGTGTGTCCGGCAACGGATTGCAACCCTCAGTGTCGCACCCGTACTGGACCGGGACCGGCAACGGGATCACAACCCTCGGTGTTTCTCCCACACCTCGCTCAGCCAGTGAGCGGGAACCAGTCTGTATGTGGGATCCGAACCCTCGGCGGGAGCGCCACCATGCTCCCAAGCGGTGCACTGTAGCAGTGTGCCACCGGGCCGGCCCGTGTTTTGAACTTTTTAAGGACAATGAAATATGATGATAGATATTCAGAGGGTTTGGTTTAAAAATGAAATGTCTCATATTAATGTATGATAGTAATGATAAATATATTAGACATAGAAATATGCCACCATTGGTGAGCATGCTTAGCCTTATTAAGTACAAAATCATGCAATGATTAAAATATATATGCCTCTGAGCCTCAAAAGACTGCATAGTGAAAGATAATGTTGTCTTATGTCACCAGAATTCTGAAAATGTAAGTGAAGTCCAGGCTCTTAAAATGTATTTTTCTGTTTTCACACTTCATTTTAGGAAGCATATTCTTTAATTGAGAAAACTGAAGCAGAACAGAATGCCCTATATTCATATCAGAAATTTTTGGAAGGTTCAAAAAGAAAAAAAAGCAGAATCCCTCCTCCTCCTATCCTGCTATCCCGAACTCATTGTTCTGTGACACTCAAACCTGCTCCGTTTATTTCAGATGTTCAGGTAAGCTGTTTGTTATGATCTTTGCCTCATGCAAAGCAATGTAAATACTTTTTTTTTTTTCCCCTTTTTTTGTCTTTTTTCGTGTCCGGCAACGGATCGCAACCCTCAGTGTCGCGCCCGCACCGGACTGGGACCGGCAACGGGATCGCAAACCTCGGTGCTGCACCCGCACCTCGCTCAGCCAGTGAGCAGGAACCAGTCTGTATGTGGGATCTGAACCCTCGGCGGGAGCACCGCCGCACTCCCAAGCGGCGCACTGTAGCAGTGCGCCACCGGGCCGGCCCTGTAAATACTTTTATGACTATAATGATTCATACTGTTTTTGCTTTTAAGACCTGAAAAGTCTTATTTATAAGCACTGAACACTGGATTAGTATTCTAATGTCTTATGTATACTTATTTCTTCATGGTATTTTCCCCCTTTTGCTACTTACGGTGTCCTCTGTATAGTAGTGCTATAGCCAAATATATGGTAAGGAGACACAATAGAAAAACATTTTCCTCTAAGTATCTTTGTCACCATTAGACAGTCATATGCTGACATCCTAGTGTGCTCAGGATAGACGCCTTACCTGAGTGGAATCAGACATTTGAAGAGGGTAGAAGTTAGTCTCAGAGCCAGCGATGGGGACGAGGCAGCAGTATGGACATGTGAAGGTGGTGAATCTAGAGGTTCTGCCCAAAGTTCTTCCAAGAAAATGTGAATTCTTTTGATGCAAACAAATGACAGTTCCAACCATATTATGAATCATAAACATTTATGTATTTATTAAAGGATGAGCTTTTCCTCCCATTCCTGATGCCTTGGAATTTGGCCTAAATGTGACTAAAACTTGAGATTTAGTTACCTCACGACAATCTGGTTCCACCTAATTTATATTTTGAATATTGCATTTTCCTCTTGGATGTTCAACAACATGCTCTTTGATGTTTTATAAAATAATAAAGTTTTGTCTTTGATTCTCTTTAGGATGTTTTGCATGAACTTGATATAGTAGAAAGATCATAGGCTTTGAGGTCAGACACATTTAGGTTTAATATTCTAGCTCCACCTTTTACTAGCAGTATGAATTTAGGAAAGCTAAATACATTTTCTGTGGTTTTTTTCATTTGTAACGTGTTATTTACTGTGAAAATAAAATGAGGTAATGTATAATATTTTTGGCATATCAACTGATGTCTCTCCACCCCTTGTATTAAAGGTATATAGTAAAGTTTACTAAAAATTAATGAAGGTATAGGCTGTGATTACATTATTTCACTGTTTTTCATAAACTCTATCCAATTATTGTGTGTCTATAATCTGTCAAGCTCTCTGTGAAGTAATTGAGGTATAAAGATAAACACAGGTAAAGCGTGGTTCCATTCTTCAAGGAGCTTCAGACTAATGGGAGATGGACATCAGTGAGAAGTAATATCGCTTTTGTAATGCTTGATAATTGGGGGAACAGAAGTAACATTCATCTTACACCTAAATGTGCTATACTGTAGGTAATGTAGTGCTATTGCTAGCAGTTTGAAAGTTCAACTTTGGATTTTTAAAGAATCTGTTTAAGAATGGGGCTTCACTAATTTTGGAAAACTAGTACAGAACTATGACTGGCTGATTTACTAAGAGTTTTTGTTTGTTTTTATTCAAATATTTTGGTTTATTTAATCAAAATCTTACTTTTTATGTATTTCAATTTAGTGATTAGTTTATTTCATAATGCTTAGAAATAGGAAGATATAAGTCTCATATTTGACCTATAGTTTTAGGACTTGTCAATTAGTGCACTATATGAAGTTTATGTGTATTTTACATTAGGAAAGTTGTTCCAGGAAATTGTTGCCAACTGTTCCATACTCATTAGCACTAGATGGTGCTATGGGCTTAAATAAATTTTCCGGTTTGAGAATTCAGCCATCTTTTTTCTTATCAAAATCTCTTGTTAAGTATTCATTTCATTAAAATATTTTTTTATAATTGAAAATGCCAGTGTTATTTACATTATTTATAAACTCTTCTAAAATTAATGGTGATGTGTTGATGATATCTCTACTCTTATGTAGATTCTTGTTATACATTGCTTCTTAGAGTTACTCCATCAGTGGAACAAAACGAAAATATAAAGTCTACTTGTAAAAATGCTTTTAGAGAGAATTTTACCCTCCAAATTCTGGTTTATACTTGTATATTGGAACTTTGAGTAATAATGATCTAAAGTCATATAACACACTCTTTTTGCCTTTTTTTTTTTTTTTTCTATGAAAGACGCTACTCTTTTTGCATTGGAAATCAAGGGAAGTTAATTTCAAATTTTAACCTGAGATTCATCTGATTTTTTTCCTCTGGCCTCCGGCTTCCTTCAATGTTCTGTCTGTCCTTAGAGTTCTCCTGCCTTTGACTAGTGCTCTTTAATCAGTTGTGCATATCACAGTCACCTGAGAAATTTTCTCTGGAATTACAAAGGTTCAGACACTTGGACTAGAGATTCTAACTCATTGAAGCTAGGCAGGTTTGGGTATCAGTAATTTAGGAAAATGATTGATTTTGTACAAACTGTATTTTAAAAAAGTGATTCTGGAGCACAGTCAGGTTTAGGACCACTCATGTAGATTAGACACCATTAGGATTTTTCTGTTGACCTGGAGGAAGGAGTAGCAGGCATAAGCTGTAAGAGGAAGCTGCTTCTTGGAAACAATTCCACTTTCTTTTTCCAGTTTCCCTTGTAGTTTAGGAGTTGCCACTGGGAAAAAGAGAATGCCATAGCGATGACCACCACAACCCCCAACAGTATGGCTCGTTCATAATGCTACTCCCTTAGGTATCAACTTGCTCCCCTTTTCCTTCCGTGAGAATCGTTCATTCCAATAAAGAATCTCCGTTATTTTCACATTTTGGCAGAAGAACCATTGTTTAACCATTTAAAGTTTAAGTTAGGTTGTTTCCATGGAATTTGCATTTTGTGTTTTGTTTATAACTATATTTAAAAATTATCAAAGTAATATCTTTCAGAAAATGTATAATTTGGAGGAAAAAATTACCTCCCATCTTACCATTTTACCATCCAAATCCCACCACTGTTCTTATTTAGGGGCATTTTCTTCCTGGCTTTTTCATATGTATTTTTATATTTTATTTTATTTTATTTTTTATTTTTTATTTTTTAAAAGATGACCGGTAAGGGGATCTCAACCCTTGGCTTGGTGTTGTCAGCACCACGCTCAGCCAGTGAGCTAACCGGCCATCTCTATATAGGATCCGTACCCACAGCCTTGGTGTTATAAGCACCACACTCTCCCGAGTGAGCCACGGGCTGGCCCTTATATTTTATTTTAAATGCTACAATTTAGCATCTTGTTTCTTTTTCCATTTGCTTTTTTTGTCATACATATTATGTAAAATATGAAAATCATTTCAGTGTTGATCTTTTTTTTTTTAAGATTAAGTCATCTTTGGAGTTAATCCTTGGCACTGTCTGGTCTAGGGAACAGTTATTTAACATCTCTGTCTCCATTAACTGTAAAGCAAAATGACAATAGTATCCATCTCATAGGGATGCTGTGAATATTAGAAAGTATACGTAAATTTCCTACTAATACTTAACTCATAGGAAGTGCTCAATTAATGATAATTAAAATAATTAGTAATGAATATTTTAGTTTCAATAGTCCCGTGTAAACTAGCCCTATATTTGTCTTTAGTTTTCTAAGATAAAATGTAAGCATATTTGTAAAGTAGATTTTATGTTTGAAACTTGAATAGTTGTATTTTTATTTAGAGAAGTATTCCTTTTGCTACATTGACATAAAAGAAATCAAATGCCTTTTAAACAGATGATAGGCTCTTCCTCTCTCTCCTTGGCAGGTATGCTGGTACTGCATTTTGGGTTGCAAAGCAGAAGGAAGCTATGGAAAAGTAAGGCTAAACAATAATCATCTCCCAAATTCTGGAGAAGCGGTACGTTGAATTAAAAATTAAATGTCAAGAAATCTTACCAAAGCCTCATTGATGACGATTAAGTGTTTTTTTTTTCCTTATGAAGTCATTATTTTAGTAAATATCTCTAATTTCAACTTCAGTCATAATTAAAACCCAACAGTGGAGGAAAAAAGTTTTTTTTTTTTTAATATGAATATAAGGTTTATTTAATTATATTTAAAAGTCACGTTATTTTACTTTCCCATGTATAACTTGAAATATACTTTTTGTTGATAGATACCAGCTGATGGTAAAAGCATTTTCGAAGTGAAAGGTTTAGAAACCAATGAAAAATACATATTTGCAATTGCTGCTTATTCTTCTAATGGGAAGCTCATTGGTGGTGCTATTGGGGAGACAACTAAGCCAATTCTCGTTTATCCACCTCTTTCTGCTGTTACAGCTCGGATGTTCCTGACGCAGGTAGAAGAGACTTCTACTTATTTCCTCTGTTTTTCTGTTAAAAGTTTACTAAGTAATTTCTGATGGAAAAAAAAATCATAGCAGATTTTCTAAAGTTCCTGTAATACATTATTTTCCATTATTGCAGTTTAGTTTCATAAAATATGACTCATCCCTTCTCTTAGTGAGTTTGCTTCTTTACAATAACATTTCTTTTCCTACAAATATAATACATCTTAATTTTTAAAAATTTGGAAAATACTAAAATGCGTAAAGAAGAAAATAAATGTTATTTGTTATCCTATTACCCAGAGTAGTTCTTACCCTGGGGTAATTTTGTCACTGTCTGGAGACGTTTTTGATTGTCACAACCTAGCAGGGTGCTACTGGCATCTAGTAAGTAGAGGCCAGGGATGATGATAAGTACCTTACAATGTACTGGACAGCCACCCGTGACATAGAATTACCGAGCACAAAATGTCAATAGTGCCAAGGGTGAGAAACCCTGCTCCAGATATACCCTTTTATTTTTCTGTGTCTGTCTATCTGCTTGTCTATCTCCCTACCCGTCTATTATTCTATCTATCTAGATATGCACACCTATATATGTATATATACATATATACATACACACAAATATGCATATGAATTTATGTATAATGCATAATTTTAATCATATTATACGTGTTATTTTATATCCTGATATTTTCATTTAATATATAATTGACATTTTTTCATTCCATTAAGTATTCTTCCAAAATGTCATTTCTAATGGCTTCATGGTATTGAATCTTATGGATACATCACAGTTTATTTATTCTCCATTGCTAGACATTTAGACACTGTCCAGTCTTTTGCTATTATGAACAAAGCTGTGATGCAGATCCGTGTATACAAATCTTTACCTGCATCCGTGATTACTTTCTTTCTTTCTTTCTTTTTTTTTTTCGCAGCTGGCTGGTACTGAGATCCGAACCCTTGACCTTGCTGTTGATAGCATCATGCTCTAATCAAGTGTGCTAACCGGCCAATCTTGTGATTACTTTCTTAGGTTAAATTCATTGAAGTGAAATTTCTGGGTCAATAGTGACAGACAGACTTGAGTTGAAGTTGCAGCTTCTCATTCTAGCCATGGGATATTGGTAGACAAGTAATTTTTATCTGTGAAATGGGACTAATAATGGTAGCTACTTCTGAGAGGTATTGCAAGTGTTAAGTAGAATTATGCAGGTCAACTGTTTGACTGTAGCACATATCACATAGTAGGCACTAAATAAATAGTATTAATATTTTTAGTTATGGATATACTCATGAATTAACATTTTTGCTGCAATAGCTGTTACCTGACTTAAAATATGTCACCAGTGAAGATGACGCTATCAAGAGTGACTCATTCACCTAGGCCTCAAGCATCTAATTTTATACCTATTGTTTTCTGGAGAGCTGATAATTCTTCTAAATTTTATCATATTTCTATTGTGTTATTTTTTATTAATAGGTAATTAGTATTGTAAGCTAAGATCTTAGTGGGATTTTATATTATCATATTTTTCAAAGAAAATTAAATTGAGAGAATTGCTAGGATTTGTCTAGCATTGGTTTAGCACGTAGCATTGGCTCATGGTTTTCTGATGTTTTGTTGTCTTTGGAATCTAATATATTCCCTAATTAACAGTGATGGAGTTATTGTGAGGAACTGAATATTTCATCAAGGACTAAGTTTTCTCCAGAGAGTGGTTTGATTCTTGGGCTCCATTTGGCAGAACTTTCATTGAAAGTTAATAAAACGAAGTCCAAGCTATACTGCTGGGATAATGAGAAGTGATAATGAAGTAATGACCTGTGTTTCTTTATTGATACTATAATTGCAGTTCTGTAGTTCATTTATGACAGATTATGAGAATTCTCTCTCATGTTAAGTGGCTAAAGTAAAACTTTTTTCTTCAAAACTTATTAAACCCTCTTACTTTACAACTTAAGTTTAAGCTTTTGAGTTCTAACAAGTTAATGTGCCTTTCTTTCAGAAGTACAATCTAATTTTCATGAGAATGGTTAGTTTTAAATTTCAGGACAATTATGTTCTTTTTTTTGGTGACAATTCTGTTCTTTAAAACATATTATCATAAAATTTTTATAGTAAAATATGCAGATAATTCTCTAAATGCCTGTGATTAACTTGGCTTTTGAGATTTTAGGTTGTACTTTTACTCAACATTATTCTATAAACCTTAATAAAGTCAGATGAGTCTTTGCTAGGCTTTCCCTGACTGTAGAAAGCTACTCATTTAGTCTATCTAGAATATTTTTGAGGAATCTTTGAATGATATGAAGGATCTTCAAAAAGTTCATGGAAAAATTCATATTGTCTTTTTATTCCTTTTGCTAGGCTTTCCCTGACTGTAGAAAGCTACTCATTTAGTCTATCTAGAATATTTTTGAGGAATCTTTTTTTTTTTAATCTTTTTTGTCCTTTTTCCGTGTCCGGCAACGGATCACAACCCTCAGTGTTGCCCCCGCACCGGACCGGGGATAGGTTGTACTTTTACTCAACATTATTCTATAAACCTTAATAAAGTCAGATGAGTCCTTTGCTAGGCTTTCCCTGACTGTAGAAAGCTACTCATTTAGTCTATCTAGAATATTTTTGAGGAATCTTTGAATGATATGAAGGATCTTCAAAAAGTTCATGGAAAAATTCATATTGTCTTTTTATTCCTTTTTCCACAAACTTTTTGAAATACTCTCATATATTTCTGTGGATATTTCCTCCCTCTTTTTAACCTCATTTCTTTTTATTCTTCCTCTTTAAGTAGAAATGGCTAGAAAATGTCATATAAAATATAGAACACTAGAAATCTGTGGGCAGGATTTTAACCTTGACCTTAGAGACTATGATTTTAGGCATGTTGTTTGGTCTCAATTTCCCTATCTGTAAAATGGATATAAGACCAAATGCCATATTCTACTGAATTACTGAACTACCGGATCAAGTAGTGAGTGGGTAGAATGGCTTGTTGAGATAAGGAAATGGGAATATAACTTATTAAAAAACTGCTATGTGCCAGGCATTTAAAATTCATTATTCCGGGCCGGCCTGGTGGCACACTGCTACAGTGCGCCGCTTGGGAGCGCGGTGGTGCTCCCGCCGATGGTTCGGATCCCACATACAGACCGGTTCCCGCTCACTGGCTGAGCGAGGTGTGGGAGCAACACCGAGGGTTGTGATCCCGTTGCCGGTCCTGGTCTGGTACGGGCGCGACACTGAGGGTTGCGATCCGTTGCTGGACACGAAAAAAGAGACAAAAAGGAAAAAAAAATTCATTATTCCACTTATTACAATAACTCTATGAGGTGGTATGATTATTTTCATTTCATAGTTGAGGAATCTGAGATTAATTTAATCTTTCCTCTTCCAATCTCATTGTACCCCAGAAAGGGTGTCTCAGGGAGCTTAAGTAGTTTACCCAAGGTTGCTTGGGTAGCAGATAGTAAGACTGACACTTGAACCAACTCATGCCTTTCTGCTGCTCTGTCCAGATTCCAGGAAGTTATGTATTGGACATCTAACATGTGCCAATTCTTTTAGAGTCTGCATATGTCCCATCTATTTTTTTTTTTTTTTGTGACTGGTAAGGGGATTGCAACCCTTAGCTTGGTGTCGCCCGCACCACGCTCAGCCAGTGAGCACTCCAGCCATCCCTATATAGGATCCGAACCTGCGGCGGGAGCACCACTGCGCTCCCAGTGCCGCACTCTCCCGAGTGAGCCACGGGGTCAGCCCTCTCCCATCTATTTTTAAGTGACCCTCTGCTCCCTGTCTTTCCTTTCTCCTATACTGTCTTCACCTCTTCCTCTGTCAATTTCCTTTTTGTTCTCTGCCTGGGTTGGTGTTGGTGAGCAGGTAGGTCTTCATGATCGGTATTGGCAGTAGAGTTTGATGTTGGAACACAAATGCTTTGTCAGCAATCACGATGGTGGCAGGAAAAAGGGAAATAAATTTCATACATTTTCCCATTCATATATGCATTCACTAAAACTCTTAGATTAATAAATATTTGCCTTATCTATGACTTTTCAAATTAAAAAAAAAGATAATTATCTCCATGTTTTAAGCTCTTTAAGAAGTTTCAACTCTTCTTTTCCCTTGCATTCTCTAACTGAATATCATCAATCTCTCTACTCATCTACTTATTGATGATTTATTTAGTCAATGTCTATTTTGTGCCAGGTTCTATGCTAGATGTCCTTTCTTCTTCCTTTGAAATATCTTTTTTGATCAAACTCATTGCCATAGCAGTAGCCCTTGTTTAGACAATTTTGATTTATGGTTTCAGTTAAGACCCCAATTGCAAGTTAGGGAAGCAGCCTGGCTTGGGGTAATGCAGATGGGCTCTGGGGAGGCCTAGGAATGCAGGCAGCTCTAGGTCTTGTTCCTTTGGTTCTCTCTATATGTGGAGGAAGAATGGCAGTTCCTGAATTTTTCTATATCCCTCAATTTCAGCTACAAGCAGAGACCAGCTAGGTGGCTCCTCATTTTGGTTCCAAATTCCTGGGGAAGAGAATCTGATTGGCTCACTCAGTGTCATAAAGAGTCTGACCTCATTTTTGGTGTTTGATCATTGACTAGTTTTTAAACCTCACCCTTCCTTTTTCCTTTGGCCCCACATCTGGACAGGCTGATGAGAAGGCCTGAGCTCGTGCACAGCAAGAAACTTTTATTTTATTATTTTAATTTTAAATTTTTATTTATTATTAGCATATTCATTCTTATAAATCGTGATATTTCTTTATGCCCTTTACCTGACCTATTGCTTCCCCAATCTCCTCCCCGTCCTTCCCATCTTTAGTATCCTTAGGTTTGTTCTCTCCTTCTGAAAGTTCAACTTATTGTTGTAGTCTGTTCTTTCTTTCTTTCTTTCCTTCATTCCTTCCTTTTTTTTTGTCTTTTTCCGCGTCTGGCAACGGATTGCAACCCTCAGTGTTGCCCCCGCACCGGACCGGGGACTGGCAATGGGATTGCA